GCACCATGTGGATAACTTCCTTGTCAGGAATCGAACTCATGCTGCAGTGGCTGCGTACAGCTTCATAGGTTGTGTCTTCACCCCTTGCGCCACCAGGGAGGCCCAAAAACATCTTTGAATACATGAATAGAGCATGAGAAAATATTTATAATTCCCTCCCTGACCTAGGACTGGTAACCAAAAATATATTAAACAAAAACACTCCATGACAGTCATAATAAGACAAACTCGCCAATAAGAAGTGGGGGAAATATTTAACATGCGCCTCACAAAGGATAATATATGAATAGCCTATAAGTACATGAAAAAGCACTGAATACCATTGACATCATAAAATTTAAAATTTAAACTATGAGAACCACTAAACAGTCACTAAAATAGTTAAAATCAAAAGGCAATCACTGTTAACCATTGGTACAATCTGCAGCAACTAAAATTTTCTTATGCTGTGAGCAGCAGTAAAATGCAACCATTTTAGACACACAATGCATACATAATTAAACAACAAACACCTCTCCTTTGACTCAATGATTCTAAGGAAAGATACATTAAAAGAACGTACTTGCAAGAAATCACTTCTGCAGCTTTCTTCATTATAACATAAAAGGAATGAGTCTATAAATCTAGCATAGAGTGGATAATAAAACTATGTTCTACTTCTGCAGTGGGATTTACTCAGCAGTAAAACAGAATAAGCCACTGATAGATACATGGGTGAAACTCAAAAACCATATATGAGTGAAGAAGTCTCACACAAATGCAAACATCAAGATCCCATTCAGATGAAATTCTGTATCAAGAGGTAAATTTAACTTATGATGGGCTAGGGGTGGGGTTTTAACTGGGAAAGAACAGCAGAAAAACTTCCTGGAGGGGCAATCACATTCTGCTTATTAGTAGGTGTGTGTTTGCTCGGATCATGAAATGGACACTTAAAACTCGCATTCTTTATTGCTTGTGCATATTTCTGGAAAAGAAGAAAAAATTTCTGTCTACAAATGGGGAACTCTACTTGATGTTATGTAAGCTGAAGTATTTACAATGACATGTACTGAAATCTACAACCCACCTTGAAATGCTCTTGAAACATACCAAATACAAATATTATGCTAGGTGACATAAACCTGAGGGAGAAAGACGAATACCGATGATTCCACTCATATGTGGAACATACAGGGAAAGCAAAGGGAAACTAAAAGCTGGCCTCCAACCTGTTCTCTGTGACCTGCCCTCCCATCCACCTGCGCAGAGCTGAGAACACGCCAGGGCCCTCCACACATGGCATGGCTTTCTGGGGCCTTCATTCTCAATGTGTATTTTCTCCATTTTTTTGTTAGTTTTCCCACCCAGCCTTCCATGATCTGGTGGTTCATCCAGGGTTGATTCAAGAGGACACAGCCAGTGGCCCTTGCAAGTTCACCCTGTAATAGGTACTAAGAAGCTTCTATCACAGCATTTTATGTCTGGGTATGTAGATTAATTTTGTTTACTTCTGATTTTTTAAATAGAAAATGCAAATGCCCAACAGGCATATGAAAAAATGTTCAATATCACTTGTAATCAGGGAAATGCAAATCAAAACTACAATGAGACACCATCTTACCCAGTGAGATGGCACATATTAAAAAACTAGCAACAACAAATGTTGGCGAGGGTGTGGAGAAAAAGGAACTCTCCTGCACTGTTGGTGGGAGTGCAAACTGGTCCAACCACGATGGAGAGCTGTGGGAGATTTCTGGACCTACTAAACATAGAGCTTCCATAGGATCCAGCATTCCACTCCTAGGTATTTACCCAAAGGACACTGAAACATCAATTCCAAAGAACACCTGCACCCCTATGTTTTTAATAGCAGCACTATTTTACATAGCTAAGCGCTTTGGAAACAACCCAAATGCCCAAAAATAGATGACTGGATCAAGAAGATATGGTATATATACAAATGGAATATTACTCAGCAATCAAAAAAGGTAAACTCATGCCATTTACAGCAAAATGGATGGAGCTGGAAGGGATTCATGCTCAAAGATAAAGCCAGGAAGAAAAAGAAAAATACTCATAGCAGGAATTTAGAAACCTAAATAAGAAACCAGGAAAAATACTAATTAATAAAGAAAAGAATCAAAATCAACCAGCAACTATAAACCGGAGATACACTATGGGGTAGGGAGGAAGGGGAAGAAAGGAGGATTAGGGTCAAAATTGGGAGGGCAGAACCATATGGGGAATATAACAAAATGAAAATGCAAAACATTGTGCAAAAATGAAAATGAGGGTAAGATTTAATAAATAAATATATTAATAAAAGTAAAAAAATGAAATTTTAAGATATTTGTCCACATTTCATATAACAAAAACTTTTAAGACTCATGAACTCAAATGTCTCTACTTTAAAAATACACTTAAAACAGGGGTGGGAAGAGCACAAGGGACTATGATGATGGTACATGGGTGAATTGGTGGTGGAAATTTCACCAGGACTATACCTGAGATGATAAAGCATACATTGTATAAAAATGAAGAATAATGTAAAACTATATAATAAAATTTAAAAAAAAAAAAAATACACTCATATTTTCTTACTGTCACTATTCTGTTATCTTAAAGACTTTGAGAGTTCTTAGTTTGCCGAATTTGTTTGCATATTTTCTATTTTTTAGATTGATAATTCAATTGGTACAGAATAATTTGACACATGAATTCCCTCAGAATACCCCTTCAGATAGAGTTCCTGGATTTTAATGTGTTATTTGCCTTTATCATCAATAACTGATTTTTACTGCTGATTTTTTCATTCTTGAATTCCTATTTTAGTTAAAAAAAAAATCCCAATCACTGTGGCAGCTTTTACCTAAAGATTCAGGAACTACCAATGTTTCAAGCATCAGCAGGAAAAGAAAATAACTGCCAAGAGTTGATTCCCATAAACAGTTGATTTTTCATTCTAAATGACTTTTGCTATTTTTTAGTACACAAGCAGTTTTCGCAAGGGATCCATGACATTGTATTTTAACAAGCACGGCTGTATATAACACCTCCCCTCTGGTAGCACTGTGTCAGTCATTTCACGTAATAATTTCCTAACGATCCTGAAACATTTGCTTTATACCTGGATGGTCTCATTGTCGTTCGAGGCAATTTTCTGGAAACATTTTCAATGTTGAAATTTATCGGTAAATCTAAGCAAACACATAGTAGAGTGTGAGGAGGAAAAACTGAGGATCAAACTTTTGCCAATGAAGTGTATAATATTTTCTTTGACAGAGCAAAGTGATATATTGCATGTCACAGCTAAGCTGTAAAAATACCACGACCTTTCATCAGTCTCAATTATTAGAAGTAATAGCCTCGGGCCGAAGCTACTTGGGCATCCCTGACCATATTTAACACAGAAAACTATAGAATCGAATGCAAAGTGTGCAGCCATACTAAGCCATGATAGGGTTACCTACTGGTCCATTCATCATTTTTTTCTGCTTACTCTGTGGCTGACATCTACTTATTAAGTCTTTCCCTGGGTCATTTCACACTGCTGAAGAGGCAAAGTAGAAATCCCATCAGGAGCTCTGCATTTCCAGAGGGAAGGAAGGTGTTTTTATTTGTGAGGCCATCATCATCTTATTAGGCAAAAGGAAAACTGTTGGTCTCAAATGCTCCCGTCCTGCTGTTTCAAAGATCATATCCTGCCCCAATGTACAGGGAAATTCTAAGATAACATCAACTGCGTGCTGCAGGATGGTAATAACGTCCAGTAGCTGGGGACCAGCTGATGAGAAGCCAGGCCCAGCTGAGCACGGAACAGCCAAGGCAATGCCCTGGGGCAGCAGGGAAGGGAGGAAACCAGAAGCAGGGGTGAGTCAAAGAAAAGCTGCATCTTTCATTGAATTTTAGGGGCTAATCCTCAAGGAGCAACTGGCATGATGTCAAAGAGGCAGTGGAATATGCAAATGACTTGTATTTGGTTGGGGATGGAACTCAGCAATCTTGCATGGCCCTTCTTTCACTGAAATTTAGCACTTTAACTAGAAATTTATTCAGCAAACAATAGCTATAGATGCAGTAGCTCTGAATGTGGCTGCCACAGCAATCACAAATCTCGAATATCATAATGTTTGGGTTGCGGAGATATTCTGAAACCATTTTCACCTACCACTATCTCAAAATGATCATGCTGTTGGACCTGCCACTAGCTCCTGTGGTATAATAAAGAAATGCATGACTTATTAGACCACTTTTCAATAATTTGATAACTGCATGCCAGTGTAATTGATCTCCTTGGGTGTCCTTTGCAGCTTATTTTATGCACTTAAAAGCAGTTTTCTGAAACTGTTACAATGAGCCCAGTTTCCAAGAATTGTTTTGCCATTGTCCAAGGTCTTGTTTTTTGTCCATTGTCCATGCACCGATGGCGCCTCAAACTGATGGCATTCAAAATAAACTATATTTTTAAATATGCTAAATGTTATGACATATTCCGAACAGGCACATAACTAACTCAAGGAGAGACTCAACAGAGGTCTAAGACTCTCCCTGGGGCCCCTTTTGAGCTGTAGAAACCTGACTTGGGGGGAGAAAGATGAAGATCCAGATTTTATAGTCTTCAGAGTACCTCTGAGTTGTTGGTGAACTTTTGCAAATGAGTTTCCTGGGCCATAAACCACTATAGGAGCGAGGAGACCCACAGAGAGTGCTGTGAGGGGCAGGGCAGGCATGATGCACAGGTAGGCACAGCTTGGGAGGTGGGGGGCGGGGCTGGAAGTGGGGGCTCTGTCACTGTGGTCGAGTCACTGTCATCTAGGTAGATACCCACAAGGTACGAGGCATCTTGCAAAACCCACCAGCACAAGACAATACGAGGCACCTTGCAAGAGCAAGACCCAGTGAGACCTGCCTAGATTCTCCATTTCCCTCCCTGGGTCACATCTCACCTCTGCTACCAGAGGGGGTATTAGAGTCACAAACCGACCTCAGGGAAGTGAGGAGGGAGAGATGAAGACAATGGAGACCATACCTCCTCCCCTGCTTCCTGTCTGCAGCAATTCCCATGTGGGGGAGGCAAAAAATGTAACCTTAAATCAAGTTTGGAATTTTGCGTATTAAATACATCTGGAAAGTCTCATTTCTGAATCAAGATCCGGTTGGTGACTTAAGGATCCACAGGACTTTTTGGACGACTCCATGGCTCAGGCAGGTAAGGAAATTCACCTCCCTTCTCCCTGGGGACCAACCTCTTACTGTTTCTCTTTTAACTTTTGCCAAGTGCCCACTGGATGTTGCAGCCCCATTGATCTGAAAGGGAAGCAGAGTGGAAAATGAACTGGCTTTCTGGTTGTGCTGCAGGAATCTGTATGTTTATTATAAAATTTACACTGACTTTTTTTTGTCTCTGTCTTCTCAGATGCATAAAACTTCTGTTCCAGCTAATTTGCTTTACTCCCAAGACCCCCAGCTAGGTCCTGCCTTTTGTTTCGTTTGTTCTTGCTTGCAAAGCCTTTTCATTTCATTCCAGAGTGCTGTAAACTCCACCTACCCAGCTGGTCTGGCTCAGAAGCATTGTTTCCACAATATTTTATTTAATGGCACAGCCCATGTAGATTCCCTCCACCAAACCCGGGTAGCCCTTTGCAGTGAAATTTATTTGAGTCTTCATAACCATATTCCAGTTTTGCATAATGTGTTACCTCTTTATTTGTGTTTATCAATGAACAGAGAGTTACCAGGAAGTTGTATATCCCAGAGCTGCACATACAGTAGATACATAATTCATTTGAATTTTAATACATTCTACAGGTAACTTACAGATGCATATGATTCTGCAAGGCAATTATTTTTCACTTAAAAAACTTTATACATAAGACCTTTTATCATGTGCTTGCTTTTTTGATACCAACATAATTTTTTTCCTGTCTTTTCCTAAAGTAAATGATACATCCAATGTTTCTAGGCTTCTTTTTTGAAATTGTGGGCAGTTTCTGGCCTCAGAAAAACTGGAAGTTCATTTGTTATCGTTTCAAATGTAAATGCAAATAAAAACCTGTTCCCATCACTCTGTATATACCAAACATAAGTCTAAGAATATATATGTTTATGTGTAAATATTCTGGGGGTGTGCTTTAAAGAAATTTCAGGGTTTTATTTAAAGTACATGAAAGGTTGGAGGCAGCAAAAAGATGTCTCCGGGGTCTTGTGTATTTTGGAGAGGAATGTCAAGAATGTGGGCTTCTCTGCCTGTAAAACAATAACTTCTTTGATTGGATGTTCAGTTGTGCTTTGCTGGTATTTTCTGTTTTTAAATCCAAAGTAAATTTACTTAGGACTTATAGGAGTGTGTCATTTTCCAAAGCAATTGGTCATTTTGTTCTTTTTATATAAAAAAAAATCAGTGAATCTTTTGAAATTTGAACTCTACCCTTGTTTACCACAGTGGTTTCTGCTCTAGAAGTTAAAATTTGTCCCATAGTCCTTCTTTATCCCTGAAAAGCTAAAGACAGGAAGACTTCTTTGTAGAAATTATGTTGGTAAAATTATTCTCAATGATTCTAATTAAGACAGATGATGCTTTTAAAAATATGCACTTAATCTGTATTTTCTTGACATTGTAATAGAAATAGTTGTCACCAATAAAATCCTCCCTTGCATTTGATCAAACATTGACCAAAAGAATGTTCCAGTTTTGAGCTCACACAGGCAACATTTCCGTGGTTCTGTGTCATTCTCCAGTGCTTCCCAACCAACACTAATAATTAACATTCTCTTGACATTTCCCCTATTTTTGCACATTTTTCAACACATCTTTCGATATTTGGGTTAATTCTCCTCTGAGTCATGTTCTAAATTTAAAAAAATAACAGAAGTTTTACTATCTGTCATAGGGGTGATTCTGTTAAAAACAGAAAAAAACAGGCCCAAAATGGAGTCATTCATGCTGGACCCCCACCCAGGCTTAATCCCTGTTGCAGTTTAAACCTCTCGCCAAAGTATGATCTTAAACCAATAAATCTGGAGGTTGCTACACAACATGGTGAGGTCATCTGCATGATAAGAGCCCTCTTGCTTCCCTGGGGAAGTTGGTTTTAAGTGAAATAATCTTTTCTTAAACGAATAATCTTAACCCCCCCTTTCTGTCTATAAATACACTTCATTTTGTATAAGCCTTGCAGTAATTAATGTGATGCTGCCCATTCATGAATCATTGCAGAAGACCAATTAGATTTCTAAGATAGTGGGTCTTGCTTTCTATTCTATTATTTCATGTTGAACAATACCTTATGTTCCTTCCAGTTCATCAAGTTCATCGATTTTTATTTGTTTCTCTTGGGGTGATATTCAAAACAAAATAAGTACATACACCAACTTCTTTTTGGATCAGCAAAAATGTAGAGCTGAAAGCTCAATCTGAATTGTAACATACTAAACAGACCATTCAAATGATTCACTGATGAATAAGGGAGTGACCTTCAGCCATGGGAACATAACTGCGACCTTGTGGTCTACTGAGGGAGGATGAACCTGGAATCACAGGTATAGCCCAGGACTAAATCGGCCCAACTCCTGCTTCCGCGTGTGAGTTAAGAATATTTTCTACTCTTTTTTTAGTGATTGAAAAAAAATTTAGCAGTATTTTAGGAAACATGATATATATATATATATATATGAAATTAAATTTCCAATGTCCATAAATAATTTTTGGAGTACTGCCACACTCATTCATTTACATGTAGTCTATTTTTTCACATGGTCTATGCTCATTTATTCACAGGTTTTTTTTTTTTTTTTGAAGAACTGGGGTACAGGCCAGAGGTATGAGAGATGAGAGGATTCACCAGAGACAGAGCGGGGAGCAGAACAGGAGGATCTACTGAAATATACTGCTGAAGGGAGCAGCAGGAGAGACAGGAGAGGTCTGCTGCACCATGTGGGTCAGCTCCCTAGCCAGGGATTGAACTCAGGCTGTCGCGGTGATAATGCTGAGACTAAACCCCCAGGCCACCAGGGAGGCCCTATTCACATATTTTCATTTACATATTTTTTGTGACTGTTTTTATACCACAGCACCAGAGATGCACAGTTGCAACAGAGACTGCATGCCTCGCCAAGGCTAACATGTTTACTATGTGGTCCTTTGCAAGAATAATTCAAGATAATGTCTTTTTTCTGGAACAATTCCATTGATGCCAGCACACGTGCCCATGGATCACTAGGTCATGATTAAACATGGCTGCCATCTATCAAATTTTGAAATGCCTCCTGTCTATTCTTCTAGTAATGATGACTTCAGCAGCTCTTTGGCACAATGGATGATGATTCATTCTGACTACTGAGTTTCCCTTTGACCAACAACATATTTCTTTTCAAATAGATAGACAAGATTATATGAAAAATACCCCTGAGGATATAAAACAAACTGCTGATTGTCACATCATTAGTTCCACCTACTATCATACCCATTGACATGTATTTAGTCAGAATACATACTAAAATCTGACATGGTGCATTCCCAATTTAATCAATATCTAAATTTGTACTTCAGAGGAGTTTTATTACTCATTTCACTTAATTTCTCCCCTTGAAAAAACAATAAAAAGTTCCTGTTACATTTCCCAAATATATGCTGCTAGAATTTCAAAAGCAATCTCACTGCAGGCTATATTAGTGTTTTTTGAAATGAGAGACAAACTATTTATACAGCACTTAATCAACTGCAAGAAAATAACTCAAGCTGTACCGAAAAAGATCATGTATAGATCCATGTAATTGGAAAAAAAAAAAAAAGGATTAAACTGTTGCTAACTCAGAAAAGGTTTCTCTCTCTCTTTTAGTTTAGCTTGTCCCTATTCTCCTGCAAGAGCTGGCTTGGGGAAAACCCAGCACTGACTCTACACATGTCTCCCAAATCCAACTCCAGCAGAATAAGAGAGAATCCATCCACACTCAATAAAACACAAAAGCATAGATTCTTTGGGAAATACAAAATAACCTGATGTGATTAAGGGGGGATTTGGTAGTAGGTGTGGTAGGATACATAATCGTATCAAGCCATGAAGCTATGCTCCTAAAGGTTCTATAGTACGGTAAGCCAGTGATAGATCAATACAATTTATTTAAATAAAATAATAATATAAAATCTAAATGCCTTAGCAAACTTTCAAAAAAAAAAAAAAAACATAATCTGTTTCCTGCGTACCTCTCTGACTTTTACTCATGGACTTAGTCTGCAGTCTGCATCACTGTCTTCCTCTGTTCCTCTGCTCCTGAAGCATGAAATTTGTCTCTGCTTTAGGACCTTTGCAGCACTATCTCCTCCATTAAAAAATGCTCTTCCCAAGACTTTTATATCCCTCCATTTATTTAGTTGTCAAATTAAAAGTTACCTTCTATTTAATATCTTACAGGATTCTCAATCCCATTATACAATCACCATCTACTTAATCTCAATTATATCATTCTACTTTTTTTTAAAGATTTATTTATTTATGCATACAAGAGTAGGGACACAGGCCAGAGTGTGGGGGTGAGAGGATTCACCAGAGACAGAGTGGGGAACAGAACAGGCAGACTGACTGAAATACACTGCTGAGGGAACAGTGGGTGAGATAGGAGAGGTCTGCTGAGCCATGTGGGTTTCTCCCTGGCCAGCCAGGGATTGAACCCATGCTGCAGAGGCTGCGGACTGCTTCACAGTGCAGTGCCCAACCCCCCTGCATCCTCATTCTACTTTAATTTTGTACGTAGAATTTACATTTGTGGGCCTCCCTAGTGGCACACGGGGTTAAGTCTCAGCACTATGAAGCCATAAAAATTCACTGCAGCATGAGTTCGATCCCCAGTCAAGTTGCTACCTACATGGCACAGCCGACCTCTCCTGTCTCACCCGCTGCTCTCCTCAGCAGTGGATTTCAGTCAATCTGCCTGTTATGCCCCCACTCTGTCTCTGGTGAGTCCTCTCACCCGCCGCACCTTTGGCCTGCACCCCAGCTCTTGTATGCATAAATAAATAAAATAAATCTTCAAAAAAAAGAACTTACACTTTTGTATTTACTTTGGTTTGCTTTCTCTATGACCTAGAATGTCCATTAGTGTTAAAAAACCTTCTTATTTCCACCTTTCAGTATCCCTCAAGTGTAGAATATTGCCTGGTGACATGAAAAATTATTTAAACATTAAATATTTGAATAATACCGAGTCACTAAACTTGTTCTTACTCAGTTAAACAGGGGAGATGTAACACCAGGAATTTAGGCTTTATCCTCTTCCTTGTTGGAGTTCAAGAGCATTGTAATCTGGGAATT